CCTCTGTTACTTGAGATTGCTTGGCTTATGTCATTTATTTTCTGCAAATCAGGGTGGGGGGAATTGGAGAGGACAATGGAAAAAAAAAACCATACTGCAAGGAAAGACTTTTAGAACCTGTATTTGATTTGTATGTGAACTACTTGGAGTATTGAATCATAACTGGGTAATTTGTGTTGACAATAACTCAGTGGTTCTGTGGACTTACTTTCTGTACGTGTCTAACAAGCACTTGTTCTTTCATGCAGGGCTATGGAAAAGCAGATCATTCGGTGACTGTAGAGATACTGAAAAAAACGTATACAGATTATGAAATTACATGGTCAGATGACAAGAAATAAACTGGCTACCTATCAACACAACAAGAAGTTCAAAACTGGTAACTGAGATTTGTATATTGATAAATAAAATTGAATGTCTGCTGTGTACGTTACCATGCACCTGGAGTAACTGGACTCTGTTGTAATTTGTAATATGGTTAGTAATCCCAAGATATATCTTGTTTTTCAGATCATTCCTGTGTGCAGAATCTGCTGTTCCAAGCCTTTTTCCTCTCCTTTTGACATGCTGTCTAATTACACTCCCACATCTTACCTCCAGTTTGTTTTCATCAAATCCTGTCTTGCGGATAGATTGTAGGATACATCAGGATTTTACCATCAACTTAAACACCACAGGACCAAACCTGTTCCCTGGTCTTTTGACCAGTGTTTTCTATTTCTTTTCTATTGCTCTTTAGGCTTTTCAACTTTCTTATCCACATTTACAAAAATCGGGGCAGGAGGGGAGGGTTGACTGTTACAGTTCTTCATCAATGATCTCAATCTTTGATTTAGTCCTTGGTTTTGAAAATTCAGTATTTGTGTTCCACACAAGCCATGCTCAAGATCTTTTCTTTTCCTGTAAGATCCTTCCCTGTAGTAGACTGATGGCCATGTCAAATTTTGACAATACTTGTTTCATTCTGATTCCCTTGTGCTACTTTTATTCCCCATGAATGTAATGGTGCTTTTTCCTTTTTTTTAATGGCAGTAATTATCTTATAGTTAACTACCTCCCAGCCAGACCCAGTACACCTGGCCAGTGTCTGAATTAACGCACAGTACCTGCTTCCTCCTGTTGTGGCAGGACGTTGCCCTTTGTTGTGAGGTTATTTGCCATGATTTTCACTTTTGTTTCCTGCAAAATCTTCTCTTGAATGCTGGTGTGGATTTTGAGGCAGCACTTTTTGTTCTTACACTTAGATTGTTGATTTGCAGTCTTCAAGAGGTATTTGTACATAAATCCTGGTTCTTCCCTTTGCTGTGGTTCCTACTGGGCTTATCTACCAGTATCTGGTGGCATACAGTAGCTTTTTCTTTTCAGTGTGTGTGGCTCTTAAGTACAAACAGTATGACATTTGAGAGGCTTCAGTCTAGTTTGTATCACAAAAAATCCAGCTGGTACTGCCTTATTATGCCAATTATCCATCTTATATCACCCTTCTGTGTCTTTGTTTTGATTGGCTGGGCAGAGAGGGATTGGCCCGTTCTCATCCTCAGACCTTTCAGTCCATTCCTCATATGTCCATCCCAGTAATCACCTGGGAGCAGGACCTCTGGAACCTGGTGCTGCACATCTCTTGGTTGGCACCTGTTTCCCTCACATGCAGTCTGGATTTTTCCCTCCACTGCCTCTGAGCTTTTGCATCTGCTGTTTGTGCTTCTCTTTAAGCTCTTGTGCAGCAGTTGTCTGGCTGCACCGCTTCAAATGCCGTGATAACATTGATTGCAGGTTTGATTATTTTTTTTCTTAACAAGATTTTGATTTCAGAACATGATTAAATGCCTGTGTACCTAGTAACTAAGAATAGCATACAAGTCAGTAATTTGCAAGTTGGGCACTTCCCACTTCGATTTTCCTCATGGGTTTTTTCCCTGAAGCTTTAGTAAAGTAACTGTAACGGATGCCATTTAATTGGTGCCAGTATACAAAGCTGATTTTTTTAATAGCCTCATTTCCCAAAACTAGCAAATGGTTTTCAAAGGGAAGTCATCAGTTGAGGATAGTGCCTGTTAAAACAAACAAGCTTTTTAATTTAGTTTCCTGTGATGCTGATGATTGATTTTAATGTTTCTCTCCAATACTTACGGGAAAGACATAACTTAGACCGGATTTCTTGTTGTGATGACTCTTTTAAAAAAGCAAACGGATGGGGCAGGGGGAGAAAAGGGGTGATGATTTGGAATGAGCTAATAAATTGAGTTACCAGCTTATCTCTACCTTTGTTTCTTCATACAAGAAACTGGGCCTGGTGAAAGTGTTTATTATGTCATCGAAAAACCACTATGAGGGTCTGCCTAGTTCTGTTATTTTCTAGTGCAATGTCATTTGGGGAAATGTTAATTTCCCTGGCTATTAACATGTATAAGCATTGCAAGTGAGTGAAATATTTTTATTCCAGATCATAAAGAGAAGCAGGGGACTGGTTACTACAGTTGCGATGATTTGGCAAGCAGAGAAAGCCTTAACATTGTAGATTAGGGAAACCAGCATTTGATGTTGAAACACCAACAGAACAACCAACCTACAAAAGTAAGTGTTGAATTCTCTTCCTCTCAGCATATATGTGCTGACTTATAAGAACAGAAGAGAACTCATCTGGAATTACAGAAATCCCAATGCTAATTTTGCTGATTTCACCTGAGAACATCCCTTATTAATTCCCATCTGTAATTCTGAAATGGGAACTTAATTATACTGTGTAGGGTTTCCTGTTTTGCAGGTGTGTAATCACTGTGAGATTGTGGCTCTAGCAGTCTTCACTCAAAAGTCCTAAAAAAATCTGATTCTGTATTTGCATGAAAACAGCTATGTTTGAGCAATCCAATAATAAAACAAGGATGCTGAGCAAAGGAGTAGTATATTAAACATAAGACAGTGAGTTCAATCATGGAGTATTTTCAAGAGGAAGCATTATGGTAGAAGATTGTAAGTGCCACCTGTAAAAATCAAAAAATACATGAGATAACCATATTGATTGTCATGGGGTCAACATTTCTTACTACTTCAGGTACCCTTCTCTGCAACAGCACTGGACCCAGCAGGTGTAGAACAAGCCATTGAGTCACTCTGTGCCAGCTGTTTGTTTTATGACTGAGGTTTGAAAAATGGCAAGTGGTAGTCACTTTGTTTACAACTTCCCAGCTCTAACAAAAACCAACTGTTGACAGTACTTCATTGATCTGCCAAAGCTGCAGCTTTCTCTTGTTCCTCAATCCGCAGTCAGCAGCTGTCTGTCATCAGTAAGTTTCAGAGTTGATGTAGAAAAATTCCCAATGCCAGCCATGGCACAACTGACTTTTTTTTCCTCTCTCTTATAAAAGAGCAGCTTCAGTGGTTTCCAAAGCATCCCTTTAAAATAGTCTACTTAAATTGTTTCTGAAACAACAGTAGTTGTTAAGGCTCTTCTGTAAAGTACAGGAAATCCTCTATGACTCCATCATAATAACATGGTCAAAATAGGAATATTGCAGTTGGCTTTCATAGCCTTCCATGACGGGAAGTTTATGCAATAATTAAAGTGATTTAGGTCACTGCTGTAAGAAGTTTCTTTCCATCTCCTAAGGCTATTATCCCTTCTCTCCTACACTGAGTATCCTTGCATCCAGCTTACTGCAGTGCTTGACTGTCTTTAAGTTTATATTTCTGGAAGGGCACCCACTAAAGCAGTGCATGATGATAAGCAGTAGTTTTGATGTACCTGCTAAGAGTTGTGTAACAGCTTTTTGTCCAGTTTTAGTTAAGACAAAACACGAAATGGATTTTTTTTCTGTGTGTGAATTGTTGGTGATACCAAGCACTCAGGACAAGGTTTTGTAGTTCTTTGGCGTTTTTGGTAAGGTAATTTCTTCAGCAACTTCACTGTCTTCAGCCTAGGACGCAGGAGTGACTTGTACACAGGTTTTTCTGGATACTTGCTGCCCTGCCAAACTGCTGAAAACACTGAAGGGGTGTGAGTATTCCGTAGTACCCCCAGCAGTACTGCCCTGCAAGTTTTGAAAATGGGTCACAGCAGTTTAATTTCTGGAAAAATCTTGTGGAAAAAAGTGACAAAACTCCAACAAACAACAAAACCCACTCAATACAGCACTCTAGTTAGCAATCTGCTATAGTAGTGCAGTTTATCTCCTTTCCCACTTGTTGCCTATAGCTGAGTTCTGTCACCCTCTGTTTTCCTGGACTGCATTTGTAAGTTTATTGGTTGTTTTAAGGACTTTTTCTTGTGTAGAATCTTCTTTCAACTCAGCTTCTAAAACAAAATCGGTTTTATTAATTTCTCGAAACAGTATGGCTATTTCCAATTGCTTGCTGAAATTTTCTTGAGTGGTATGTCAAAACCTGAACGCAAACATTCACAGACCACAGTAGTAAACGTTCTCTGGTACACCTTTTTAAAGGTTTGGGTAAAAGTCATGTGTGCATCACATACGGCAACGTGAGGAAAATCTGTGAGCTTGCCAGCAGCATGGAACACAAGCGATAAATACAATCACATCCCCCCCTGGTGGCAGAGCTGCAGAGCGGGCAGGTGTGCAGTCGGTTCTGAAATCTGTTGCTGCAGCTAAACCAGATCACAGGTGCGAGTCTAACCCTCGAGAACCGCTTCTGGCATGGTATTAACATGCTGAACAATCTGGTCCACCAGCCACTCCTGTGAGGTACGGTTCTGGCACTCACAAAGAATGTGAGGGGGACCGGGACACAGTGACTTGTTCATTTTTGAATACATATAATGACATAATCAGATACTGGTTTAAGCAGAACTGCATTTTTCTGAGCAAAACCCAAATCAGAGGCCTTCGCTTCTCGTCAGGCATCAGAACTTGTCAAACATTTCAGTAACGAGCATCCTTAATTTGCCAAACTAGAATAACTCAACAGAGGAAAAAGCAATGAGATATAAGGATTAAAACACTTTGTCTCTATAAAGATATTTTTGAAGGACCACCGGTTGAATTTTAACTGTGATCTTTAAAGGCCATTTCCATAATACATCGCTGCAGTCCTTTATCAATTATTTTAACTATGCTGCTCTTAAACACATTTCTCTCCTCAATGAATTTCTCAAAGAGGTAGATACCACCACCAACCCCAAAATAATGTGCTTTGCTTGCCAGATACACGTGGCCGTTTGTGTCCAAGAGCTGAGCCAGTGTGTCATGCAAAGCGCTGTAGCAGTCAGGATTGTAGATGGTCTCAGATGAGAGAATCATGTCATACTTTGAAAAGGGTTTGTTGCTGCTCAGCAGGAGCTGGCTGACTTCAGACCACTCTCCAGAAAAAAATCTGCACTTGTTCAGCACAGCAGGTGAGCGCTCTGCGTTCTTGGGCCTCTTCAAAGGAGGCTTGCCAGTTGTTGTGTCATCTCCACCACCCATCCTGTTCCTTTCATCGATACAGTTAGCCACTGCGTTGGGCAAGGTGACTTCGTCGATCACTGTGCTGTTGTAGTCCTGAAAATGGACTTTTTCAGCTTTTCCCTTCAATGCAACTATTCCCAGCAGTCCAGCCCCGCAGCCGAGATCCAGTACAGTCTTGTTGGTAAACTCTATCTCTGCCTCGGAAAAGTAGTCAATGAGGTCAAAGGTGCATTCCCAGATTTTCAGTCCTCCCTCATAGACTCCTGGGATGAGATCGGAGTGAGAAGAAACACTTTTAGACACGATGCCTTCCTCATCGGTGCCATCCAAACACATCATTTCCACGACAGACACCTTCACGTAATACAGGTCTGACACTGTTTCCATTACTTTATTTTCTAATACTTTGTTGAGATCTTCAGGTACCTCGTGCTCCCTGGCAGCTTTACAGCAGAACTTTTTCTTTGATGGTGCCTCATCTTGGTGCTTATCAGTACCCGGCCTTGGGCTGGAGTCTGCGACAGCATCAGCAGCTTCCTTGCTGTTTTCCGTGGATTCCTGCTTGTGTTTTGGAGAGCGCAGCTGTGAGTCCGTCTTATCGTGAGTGTCTGGTTCATTGATCTCATTTTCATCAATAGAAAAATTAAATCGAAAATCCATTTTTAGAAATAACACTAAAAAAAAAAAACTCAGCTTTACTTATTACAGCCAGAAACATTCATCTAAGAGCAACAGTGATACAAAGATTATTTTTTTTTTAATTCTGTGGTTTTTTTTTTATAGAGGATGTTTTTACGTAATTATCAGTATGGGGAGGTGTGCTCTGCAGGTGGAATATTGGATGTTTTGCCAGGGGGTCAGGTGACTTCTAGAAACAGAATGAAGTTTCACTTCTCATTAAACCGCCAAATATTAGCACAAACAAGGCCGTCTAATTGCAGCACCCCAACGTTCACTGTTCTAAACGTTTCAATTTCTGAAAAGAGCGTGACAAGTGACCACATCTCTCACGTCATGTGGGGAAATCAGGGTAGCTGCTTATTCTGGAAAAACTGGCATTTCAGGCTTAGCTGAGGAAAAAACCGTGATGCTGAACAAAGCGTGTTCTCGAGTTAAAATACTATGTATTGCTCCTGCAGCTGCCCAGCGGCATTTTCCTACCCCAAATCCTCCCATTTTAAAAAACTTTATCCTCGCTCCTCTGCAATTCCAGCAACGCGAAAACGCGCACAGAGGCTGGGAAGGCCCAGCTTCCCTTCCCTGCATCCCGGCTGCGGCGAGGGGATCCGGTCCCGGTTTACCCACCCCGTGGCCCTTCCGTTCCCCTCAACCCCCCGGTTCCCGTACCGACCCCCGGGTGCTGGACGCGATCCTCCCTCCGCTTCTCCCACGTGGAGCGGCTGCTCCTTCC